TTGCATTTATAAATATAAAAACTAACAATGAAATTAAAACACCTTCTGTAAAAACATTCTATAAAAAGTATCATTTAGAGTTTTCTTATTAAACAAACAATTATTCGGTAAAATCTGGTAGTGTTGTGGGAATCAGTTGGAGGCTCACCGGAGAAAATTGAGCCAACGATCACCACTTCAATAGCTTCGTACCAAGAGCTCCAAAACCTCTGCACCCTTTTCATGGTCGAAAGAAAATCTATGTGATAAAATCTGATGGTAACTTTAATGATATCAATGATAAAATTCAATCGGTGAAAAAATACGGGTCAAAAACTCCAATAGAAAGCGGTCTTTTAATGCAATCTACGATTTATTTCGATATTGAAAGATTTGTCGTATTCTGGACTTTCAAATATCACAGGCCAAGTTTTCGAAAACTTGATAGTAAGAAAACTCAAGATGATGAATGGACAGTAGAACAAAAAATAATGATGACTAAAGAGAAAATTGAGAGGAACTCGACTTTAATTCTGTAATTTTAGGTTACAATTTGTAGAAGAGTCCCCTTTTTTGTTCGCTTTGCCCCTTTTGAATGGCAAGAGTTCTGCGTTAATATGAGGCTTTAGTGTATAATTGACGGTTCCCAAGGGTTTGAAATGAGCCCAGTTGGACATGATTTTACTGCTAAAATCTGGCCTGTTCTCTTGGGGACTTCCGCTTTGAGATCAAGTTGAAATTTAGCGGTAAACAGCTTTTGGAAATGTTGCTTAATTGTACAAATAGTATAGAACTAAAAAAGGATTGCTGTAGATTTTTCCGGTTTCTTGACTCAACTTTAAAAATCTTCAATGCATTTTGAAATTCTATTTCTATGAAATTCAGTGCCCGTTAAGCAAGTTTAGTCTTTGACGTGCTTCAATATGATGTATGTATGCTTTTACAATGTTGTATTACACCGATTAATTTGAGGAAAAACATATGTATTTGCAATTGGCGAGAAAATGAAACAAATAAAAAAGAACGTTTTCAAAAACTTCGGAAATAAGAAACTCAAGAAAAGGTGAGCAGGGAGTGGAAAGAAAATAATGATGGATAAATCGAGAGGAACCGACTTTAAAACTGTAATTTTAGGTTGCAATCGGGAAAAAAATACCGCATTATTCACGTTTTTGAATGACAAAAGCTCTATGTTAATATGGGACTTTGAAGTTATAATTTGACCATTTGCAAGGTTTTAAGAGGAACACAGGAACATAGTTTATACAGTAACCCGTAGTCTTGGGCGGACTTCCGCCTTGGACAGTAGGCGATCGGGTTTTTGCAGTATTACTTCCGATCGGGAAATAATATAACATTTGGAGCACTTGTTACTTTCCAAGATTACTATTACTTGTGAATATCCTGGCTAGACCGGGAGGGGCATTTCAATTCAAGCAATTAAACTTGATAAGATATGAAAAAAATCTAAAAAGCAAGCCAAAGTTTAACAAAAGGAAGGAATTGGGAATAACTATCAATCGTCATGAAATATAGATCAGTATTCAAAAAGCACCTGCTTTCAAAAAAAGAACCTTAGCAAAATTTCCGATTACAAGAGAATAAAGAGAACTGTCTAGGAAGGACTATATAGGAACGTTTCCACGAGTAAATTTTTCATAAAAAGAGCTTTTTTGAAGACTTCAAAATGTACCTGGCTATGATTAGTCGTCTTCTACATAATTGTGTTCAAATAAGGAATGTTTACCATTATCGGGGTCCCAACGGGAAACCTTTTCGGAGCTTTGCTAATGAGGGGAGACATTTGGAAAAAGATGTGTGGGCAGCGAAAAGTAGAACGAATTCATGTCATAGAATTTCTCATTCTAATGAAAACGATTTCCCGTTTTTGCTTTGGTCTCAACGGAGTTCTGATGACAAACTATGAAATTCAAGTGTAGCCATCTTATCCAAAATCGAAGTAGTGGTCAGTGCGTCAAGAAAAATCACAACTATATGTGTTTTGTTCTTGAAAAAATTACGAATCGCTCACGTTGAGTCGAAAGGGAGCTTTCGAGCGGGAAAACAGCTTAGTCAGACTCAGATGGGTACCGCGTACATACTATACAGTAAACTTGTAACGAAAACATCTGTCGGCCCTTTTTTGCCGTTGGTTTTTCGCTTTCTCGTGTTTTTCTTAGCACCAACCCTTCGATTTTGTCTATTTTGACTATCATTCGATGCAGAACAAATGATGCAGGACGCGTCGAATGATACCAAAAGTTATTCAAAATGTAATATTCATGCAAAATTATGAGGCAAAAGATTAGGTTTTTAGCCAACAAATATGCGTGGATATTTACAGTTTGAGTTAATTTTGGTACAATTCGACGGGCAATTTTATACTTCATCGAATAATATTCAAAATAGTCAAAATTGAAGGGTTGGTGCTGAGAAAAACACGAAAAAGCTTAAACTGCCAACGGCAAAAAAGGACGGAGAGATGTTTTCGTTACAAGTGTAGAGTTTCAATAATTCTGCCGCACCCTGTATACAGGTTCAATATGTAAGATAACATTACGACTTAAAGTAAACAACAGAATGGACCAGGTTGAGGCTTTCAGTTCAGCTTAGAGTTTCTAGAAAATGGTTATTGGGGTAAACTGCAAACGCAAAATCTGATCTAACGATAAGTACCAGTGAAAAGAACCTTATCACGAAAAGTAATGAGGTACATGGCGGCTTTTATGGAGACCTTTGGAGCTGCTGGGTGCCGGTGTTCGGGACACAAAGATGGGCTCATTTGTGTCAGGATGGGTGACTGGAGTTGGACTGTTCTCTTTAGAATGATCATCGAATTGGCCTTGTCCACCTGCAAAAACACGTTCCCTTGACAGAAAATAACCTAAATTGTGACTCCAACAAGGAAGAAAAAGTTCGCCTTCATTAACAGGAAAAACTCAGTGGTATTTATCCATTAGCCTGCTGGGGGGGGGTTACCTCAACCATGCTAAAAACTGTTGTCTCTCTTCCGTTAACAAGAAAGAGCCCAATATTCTTCAAGAACTTTCATTATAATGAGAGCATTTTACAGTTTTTCTACGATCTCGAGGGAGTTCGGGAACTCTGATTTCAACGTCTTAATTGGATAGGAGACAAATATTCGGGTGAAAAACTTAATTCCCCTGTCACAAGGAAGTTTTTTTCAAAGTTAAACCCAAGTATCTTCAATAAGGGCTGTAAAATGTCACTGGATTTTCTAATTCTGGCGTTCTCACGAAAACTCATTAGGGGAATCTCTAGAGACGTTTGAAAGTCTTAATACTTGAAAAGTGTATCTACAAAAAAACTGCCAAACTTAAATAACGGGTCAGCAGGGTGGAGAAATACTTCCTGAACATCTAGAAAAAACCCCAATAATTACTGTAATCTTAGGTTATTTTAGAGGGAAGCAGTTCCCTCTTTTTTAATTTTTTTCGAATTGTAAAACCTTTGGGTAATAAGCAGTTTGAGAGCCGATTACTTAAAAAGTTCAACGTACTTCTTGAGAATATTTTCTAGTCTCATAAACTTCCGGTTCGGGAACATATGAATGGTGGGTTTTTGCTTTGCTAAAGGGAATCAAACGAGTTCCTTCTGGATTTTTAAACAAGCTAAAATGGATAAACTACTATAAGGAATACGGGATCGGGATCTAGGTCCATGCTTGATTTTTTTGTCTTTAGCAGTCAATCTTTTAATGAGAGTCACCAAAAACCCCGAAATAAAGAATAAGGTCAAATAGAAAAAGCACATTAACACATTCACGACGAAGGGACCCACACAGTAGGTCCCTAAGTGGAACCCACATGGTGGGTCCGCCGATTTTTTTAGCCTTAGTCGTCAGATCAAGCCGAAAATTGGTGAGAATACCAAATCGATAGTGGGGAATCCAAATCCGGTGTTAGATTTTTAAAAATGTCCCCCCTGGCAAGATTTTGTGCCTTTTTGATGACATGGCACAGACGACCCGTCTCTCTTTCAACTCTCGTCCATGACGCGCAGTTTTGTGAAAAATAAAGTAGTTTAACGTACTTACTGCTAGTTAGAATGTTCTGTAGGCTAAATAACTTCCGCTTTGGGAAAATTAGCTGTGAAAGATCGAGGATTCGTTTTTAGTTCACCGAGATTCAGCCAATAGATACATTTTCTGATGTTGTGCTGTTTCAAGCCATAAGATCTTCAGGGCGATACAGACTCTCAGAATGGCACAAATTTTACAATATCAGCAAATAAAGAAAGTTGAAAATACTAACTTCCGTTCAACGATTTGAAAAGGTAATTTTTTACAATCGGCGGAACCCATTCAATTTTGCATTAAACGACCTCTGTTCTGGGTCAGTGCGTGTAAAACTTTTTATGGACATTTATGACATTCTGACACCAATTTTAGGTTGATTGAAGACTCGTGTATGTACTTTATTGTTATTGAGATCAATTCCTTTTATCTTACTACATCCTAGAGCAAAGTCATCTACTATGCGGCAAAAATTTAGCTTATAATTTGAGGTCATGTCTAAAGGACAGCTCAATAGGAATATAGCGCGAATTTCTCTGTAACGAGCCTTACTCGTGTTGACCGCCGTTGACATACTTGGCTGACAAGAGAATGGCCAGAGGTGGAGGTGACCGTTTGGGATGAGTCATGCCTCATTCAATAGATCTAATGAGGAATATTGATGACCAAAAAATTAGCTGCCTGAAGCAACTCTACAACGAGAAATGGGGTCGACAAGGAGCAAAATTGACGTTTTTGAACCTCCTTGACGGGGCTGGAACTTTTTATAGAATCAATATTTTTGAATAACCTTTTTTGTATGTAGTGGAACTCGACTGAAACTAAAATTGAATTGAATGAGGTATGACTCATACCTAGCGGTCACCCCCACTTCTGGTCATTCCCTTGTGAGACTAGTTAAAGTGCAAGTAATCAGACAACGTTGTTTCAGTTGTTCGCGATGAGATTGTAACTACGATTTCCCAGGACATCGAAAAGAGGCCAAATGAAAGCAGTGGACGGCAACGGTTTCTTGAGTGGGCCAGCGAGCAAAGCAGCAAAATTGCTTGGGAACACGATATTGGGATGTACTGATGAAAGTTTCTGCTTTGTTTTTGATGTTCTAAAACGAGTTGCTAGTTAACGATGAAATGTCTTTTATTGAGAAGGGGAGGTTTTTGCAACAAGCAAGCGCTTTTCTCATTAATTGGGAAACGGTATTTAGGTAGCTTTCATTGATTTAAATTGACTCACTATTAAATAGATAAATCACTGGTTAGGAAAGGAAATGTATGGGGGTATCCAAACCTGCCTGCATATTTACCCCCCGCCCTGGTTTGGGTCCCTAATTGCCATTTTTTTACATTATTTGAGTAGCTTAGAGTCTGGTCTACCAAAAAAATATAAACATGTACGGAGAAAATATTATTTTTCTATGATTTTTGCCTCTTCCAAAACCTAGAAAAAAAATGGGCCCCCCGGCTGTTCCCTTGCCTCCCCCTTCCCTCCGGATACTCCACAGGCACCCAAGATTCATATCGTCGCGGTGACCGGTGACTCAGATCATCCCCCAACTAGGCTTTCTGCGTCTCTCAAGAGATTTCAAAGCTCTTACAGGTGACTTATAAAGCTATCACAAAGCTGAATTCCAAAAAGTAGCGTTAGTTTGTCACTGTCCAAAAGCACTTTGCATTAGGCACAACCATTTGCAAGAGTTTAGGCCCAAGCGAGCAGTAATGGAAGAGATATGCCGATGTGTAGAATCCGGAACAAGCTCGCACAGAGATGACCATGAGATATCGTTCACTAAATCCTGGGTAGAGTTCATCGTCCCCTAAACTTCATCATTGGCATTTATTGATATATTCATTTATATTCCGGCAAGCCGTCAAAAGGCCGATCCAGAGAGAGGACCGAGTAGGGCATTGTGATGAGGACTTTTGCTCAATCTTGGATATGTGTGATCAGGACTTTGTTCATTGTTCTCTTTCGCACTATCTCCCTCATTATTTGACCTTGTTGAGCCGTTGGCACATATTGCCTCTTCTCTTCCCCCTTGGCCAGCAGATGCCGAATAATGCCCGATCAATCAATAGCGATCTAAAAGGAAAGTTCACTCAAAGGAGAATTTATTTATCTTCTCTTTGCAGTTTCAAAACCTTTTCTCATTACCTATTTTTGAATTTAGATTCTCTAATCTTCGAATTTATTTTAGAAATGTCGCTTTTCGAGCAAACCTTCTCCTTCATGAACTGCACTCGTTGCGGAAAGCTCTGTGGGTGTTAAAACTAACTATTGAACTAAAATTTAACAAAAGACTAGCTTAAATCCATTCACCAATTTACACCTTTGATTTCAGTCGGCTACAACGAGAAGGTGCTTTCCTGTGAGAATCGGTCGAATCGCAACTGCTTCGATCACGAGGCCGTTTGTGGAAAGTGCATGTGAGTGACTTCATACCAATAAGCGACTTTGAACAAGAAATATTAAGCCAAAAGGACCTGATTGATAGGTTTAGACTATTAGTTTACGGCAGTAGTTGTTTTTGCTTCACTATTAAAATTTTCAGGCACGATCATGCCGAATCGATCCACGTCATGGATAAGCAACGCTACAGCACCGAACTCGTCGCTCGTCGTCACGACATTGAGGGTGAGAGATGAAGGGGATAGAATGCTGCTGTAACATAGAGTTGACTTTTCAAACAAGGGTTCGGCTCAAAATCGATTGATAGACCAGCATTAAGCTTGTCAGATCGGGCTGAAGCAAAGAAAACATTATATACAAAGTGAAAGTTTCTAAAGTTCAGAAAAGATCCGTGATTTCATCAACAAGATGGAGACGAAGTTCTTTGATGAATCGATTGGTCATGTGACGCCCGAGGCCGAGGCGAGCAAGGCTGAACCTGCGGTGAGTTTGGCTGATCCATAAGGAACAAACCAGGATCTTTGAGTTTGTAAACTGACAAGTGAAGACAAATTTGAGATAGTTTATTGATTCTACAATGAAAGCAATTCAACTTTAGGTTGTTCCAAGCGAGGTCGCGGCATCTGCTCATGACGAATCGAATACGGACCAGGAGGAGGACAATCATGATAAAGGGAGCTGCTCTGCAGAAACTCAAGGTTGGTCTAAACATGAAAAAAAGACATTTTGCTAATAAAGTATGTAGCTGTTATCAAAGCAAACTATTTCCAGCCCACTCGGGACCGGTGAGCCACTTGGAGAAGGTGAAGCCACGAATTGCCGCCGACAAAGCCCGCTCTCTTCCCGATGATGAGATTCGTGAGGTGAGTGGCTTACATGAATTATTAGGCTGTCTCGAAAATCTTTTTGTTTCTTTTCATATTTTCTTTGAAAAATAACAAATTCATCAATTAACCTATGCTTGGCTCTAAATAAAAAGTGTTTATGGTTCAATCTCCTTCTTTTTAAGTCAATCTTTGGGTTCACTTTCGAGTGAAAACGTGTTTTCCGGAAAAATCTACCAAATCCTTTACGAAGAAATTGGCTGAATCAATTTCTCTGAAAATTTGGCTATATACCTAACTTTTTGTGCTCTATCTTTTAGTTATTGACACAAATATAAGTTTCCATAGCTAAAGTGTCCGTTCATCGAGCCGTCGCCCTTTCTTGACTACCCGACTTTCTATTGAAACAAATCATAGTTTAGCTGGTGCATTTGTTGGTTTTAAACGGAGGTATGAAAAGGAACGAAAAGACTTTCTGGAGAGCCTAATATAAGAATTGATGATTTAAGACTCAAAATTAGCTGTCTTTTTCTAGATAATTATATTATTTCAGGACTTCGATGATGACTTTACTAAGGTTGTTGAGGGGAAAAAAGCCGAACTGCTGAAGCTTCGTTCTTACTTCAATGAGGCCTCCATGTTTCCCTGCAAGTTCAGCAATTCTGGCTGTGGATCGACATTTCATCGTTACGATAAAGCGGGCCATGAAGAGGCGTGTGAGTTCAGGTAAGTGTTTAGTGCTGAAGATGACGTACAAAGTATATAAATTATATGTAACAATTTGTTCTTGACAGACCCTACAGCTGCCCTTGCCCTGGTGCGGTGTGCAGGTTAGTTTGTTTGGGTTTTTGGTAAACTAATAGATAAATTTTTAGATGGCAAGGAGCCCTTCAAGAAGTGATGCCACATTTAATTAAGATCCATAAGAGCTTTAGGACTTTACAAGGTATGTTTTAACTGATAAATAGAAATAATATTTTTTTTAGGCGAGGACATTGTCTTTTTGGCTACCGACATCAATTTAACGGGTGCAGTTGATTGGGTCATGATGCAGGTTAGCGTTGATTTGTAACAATAAACTAAAAATTTTTAGAGCTGTTTTGGATATCACTTTTTGCTAGTACTCGAGAAGCAGGTGTGGCTTTAACTTCGACTTCTAGATTCCTTGTTTTAGGAAAAGTCCCAACAGCCCATTTTCTACGCCGTTGTTCAACTGATTGGGGCCAAAAAAGAAGCCGAAAACTTTAAGTACAGGTATTAAGGAACTTTAACGAACAAAGCACTGGAGTATTTAGACTTGAATTGTCAACTTGTCATCGTCGCCTTGTATGGGAAGCCAAGCCGCGGTCCATTCACGAGGGAGTAGCGCACGCCATTTCACAATCCGATTGCCTTGCTTTTGATACACAAACCGCTCAACTTTTTGCCGAAAACGGGAACTTAGGTTTGTTTTTACATCTTTTAACAAAGTTAAGCTCTAGATTTTGTACAGAGCTTCTGAAATTTCCATTACTTTGCTACTTTGAAAGAGAAAATACCTCAATTCATCCCCTAAAATTAAAGGCTTCTTTATCATCTCATATTTATTTTCTAGGAATAAACGTGACCATTACGCAACTCAACGCATCATGACGATGATGGATTCTCGTTTCGAAAGCTTTTTGGCGAGAATTCACAAATCAGCTTCTACCCATCAAATTGGCCAATTACACATTAGTAGCTGTTATCTATTTTGTTTTAACGAAATTTACTAAAAATATCTTGTGAAAAGACCCCAAAAATTTTGTCCTTTTTCATTTGTTAGTGAGACTGAGTTACCCAGTAAGTAAATCTAAAGCTTTCCGCAATATTTTGCAGAAATATGTACTTACCTACTTTCCGTGCCAATTCTCTCGAATTTGACCTGGTTTTAAATGTGGTGCCTTCATCGTTTTCACTGGTTATGTTCACGACAGAATTTTCTTTTCTTTTTTTGTTTTAAGATTTGTCCTATATGTGTATGACATTGTTGAACTGTGCTTATTAAATAAATTGCGACTAACTTTATAATTTAAAGCCGCCGACAAGTCGTTTTTTGGCACTTTTTGAAACGTCTATATTCCGCCCAGAAACGATCACTGCAGAATTCTTTTTGTGCCATTAAAAAGGAAAAGATATTGTGGTTTTTAAAAGTACTAATCAAGAAAGATAAAAAGATCATCTTCACTTACAGTCGTTTTTTGATGGTTTTTATGACCCGCAGCTACTTTTGCAAGTACAGTCGAACCTCTTAATGGCGACTTTCGATATAACGATAATCTTTAACTTATAAAGTTAGTCTGTACTCGGTCCCGGCAGCCGTAACGTAAAATACCTTACAAAAAACCTTGATATACTCATTCTTTTATAACGCTTTTCTCGATATATATAAAATATAGATAAAGCTTGAAATTCCGTGCTTTATTCAAATGTGGAAACTTAAAGTTTTCAGCTTATTCTATTGACTATAATTACAGTTCTCATTACAGTTTTTTAGTCGAGTATTTGTTTTGGCTCTAAGGTGATAACGTGGTCCTTCCAAATTAAAAAAAAGGTCCTTTAACAAAGGTTAACTTCTAACTCAAAAATTACAGTGGGCAAACTTTTTCAAAATGATACGTTATGCCCCCACCCCCCTCGCTACGGGCCTGAGCACTACTTTGGCTACTTTGGGATTAAGACCAATAACAACATTAATGCTTTTGAACGGGATCAAATTTCGTCATAAACTTTGGCTTAGGCTTAGGCTTAGGCTTAGGCTTAGGCTTAGGCTTAGGCTTAGGCTTAGGCTTAGGCTTAGGCTTAGGGCTTAGGCTTAGGCTTAGGCTTAGGCTTAGGCTTAGGCTTAGGCTTAGGCTTAGGCTTAGGCTTAGGCTTAGGCTTAGG